GAGGGCTGTTTTCCGGCTGGCGGGTGACTAAAGCTTCCAACCGCTCCTCGTTTTCTTTTTTTTTTTTTTTTATTCTGGGCCAGCTTTAGCTCTGAGGCCTCGCTGCTGAAAACATCGATACAAAGTTTCGGTCTGGCTGTCTTTCAGTCTGGCTGTTTTCTGGGGTTTTGTTTAGCTTCTTATTTGCAACATAATATACAGTTGCTTAGAGTTACAGATGAGAGGCTGGCAAGTGAGGCGGGGAACGTTGGAGTCTGCAGCAAGCAAGCCTCGTGCTCACTTCAGTGCCTGGCTGCCGGCCGCCATCTTGGCTGACAGTTAATTTGCATATACTCACTGATTAGCCAATGAAAAGGGTAGCGGTCATATGCTAATTACCATGTTTCTCTTTTATTAGTGTAGATTTCTTGAGATAGGCCTGTAATCATATCAACTTCTTTACTTGTTGATATCATTACTTGTTTATTGCCAGTTTTATTCTTTATTCTTAATTTGTTCATTTCTTAATTCTCATCTAAGGATATTTTTCCATTGATCTTTAGATAGAGTGGAAGAGAGAGGGAAAGATAGAAATATCAATGTGAGAGAAACATCAATTGTTTCCCTCCTGCACACACCCAGACCAGGGCCTGGGGCTGGGAGAAGCCTGCAACATAAGTATGTGCCTTTGACTGGAATGGAACCCAGGACCTTTAGACCTACAGGTCAATACTCTATCCATTGAACAAAACTGGCTAGGGTGCCAGTTTTATTATTCATACCTATGTTCCTTTCTCTATATTTCTTATTTTTATAGCAGTACCTGTAACATTTCTTGCATTGTAGGTTTGGTGTTGATAAACTCATTTAGCCTTTTTCATCAGGGAAGCTCTTTATTTTGCCTTCAATTCTGAATGATAGCCTTGCTAGATAGAGTAGTCTTGGTTTCAAATCCTTCTTTTCATTACTTTAAATACATCATGCCATTTAGTTCTGGATGATAGTGTTTGCTATGATGACTTCAGCTTACAGCCTTATGAAGCTTTGTTGCAAGTAACTGGCTATTTCTCTTTTGCTGTCCTTAATATTCTTAGTCTTTAATGTTTGCTATTTTAATTATGATGTGTCTATGTGTGGTTGTCTTTGGGTTCATTTTGATTGGTACACTGTGCTTCTGAACTTGTATCTTTTTCCTTCATCAGCTTAAAGGAAGTTTTCTGTGATTATTTCTTCAAACAGGTTCTCTATTCCTTGCTCACTTTCTTCTCCCTCTGTTCCTCAATGATAGTAATGTTGTTCCATTTCATGTTATCCCAATGTTTCCTTGAACTATCATCATGCTTTTAAGTATTTTTTTCTTTTTGCTGCTATTTGTTTTTTCCTACCTTATCTTCTAATTCACTTATTCAATCCTCTTCTTCATTGATCCTTTTATTTCCATTAAGTATATATATTTTTAAATATATTTTTATGGATTTTAGAGAGGAAGTAAGGGAGTGACAGAAGCACCAATGATGAGAGTCATTGATTGGCTGCCTCCTCCACACCCGCTACTGGGGATCAAGCCTGCAACCTGGGAACGTTTCCCAACTGGGAATTGAGCCCATGACCTCTTGGTTCATAGACTGAACCACTCTGGCTTCGCTCCAGTATATTCTTGATATCAGATATAGTATTCTTCATTTATGCCTGGTTCTTATTCATGTTTCCTGTATTGTTTTTCATGATGATATAGTCCACACTAAGTTTCTTATCATTCCCATTAAGTTCCTTATAGTTTTAAGTTTCTTAAACATCTTTATAACCATTACTCTGAACTCTAGGTCTGGTAACTTGCTTACCTCCACCTCATTTAGGTCTTTTACTGGTGATTCCTGCTTTTCTTTAATTTGGGGGTTGTTTCCCAATTTTAGTTGTCTTTGTGTTTCTATCTATATATCAATATACTTGCTGTGCCTCCCAGGCTTCATGGTGTTGGCTTTTGTAGTATATGTCCTGTGGGACTCAGTAGTGCAATTTCCACAATCTCCTGAGCTGGATATTCTAGAAATGACACTTTTTTGGATTACTTGGGGTCTCCTGTGGTAACTGAGTCTTTATTACTGTTGCCCCACTAGTGTGTGAGCTCTCCTCTCAGGGTAGTAAACTGTAAGGCTTAGTCACAATCACATTGTGATAGCTATTATACATGTACTGACAGGGTAAAACAAAACCAAACTAAAAAAGTGGGAAACAAACAAAAACATATTAAAGATCCCAACAACAATAGCAGAAACAACCACAAAAGAAAGAGAATTAGGAAAGAGAAAAGATAACAAGAATAATAAACAAAAAGAGAGAAAAAGTTAATAGGAATAGTAAAATAAAAAATAAAAAGAATACTAGAAAAGGGGCAGTAAGAAGATTTTGAAAGAAAAAAAGGGAGAGCAAGAAATCAATGTACAGTAGAAAAGGAGGAAGAATAAAGGTACTGGAATCTTTGAAGCACCAAAATAGTTTAATATATAAGGAGAAAAAGGAAGGACTATAGGGAGGGGTTGAGAGATGAGATACATTTGCCTTTGTGAAGTTTTATTTTCCCCAGTCTAGAATGAAACTGGCTTAAGAAATCAATCACTGTATTCTGGTCCCAGTAATGCCTCTGACATAAGACTTCCGGGAAGAAGAATACTAGATACTATGTTTAGGACCTGAGCCTAAAACACTGCCTTTACTAGTTAGGTTATTAGAAACTCTGAAGGGACAAATTCTCAATAGGAAATAAAGTCCAGGTAACAAATAGGACTAGGAGGCAGCAAAATTTTAAAAAAATCCACAAAAACTTTTGTGCTGTTGTCACAACTCTTGCTGCTGAGGGTACAAGAATAGCAAAGGAGTTACAGAAGGAAAAGAGGTTGTGGGAACTGAATCCTTTTGTCCTAAGTTATTTTGGTTCCTGTTCATTATGTGACTATGGTCTGTAGAATGTGTCAGGAGTATATTATCATGATCTGCTTCCTCTTCATATCCTTTCTCCTCTTGAACTTCCTCAGGCTTACTTCTTGAGCACTGGGGCTTTTTTTTCTCTACCTCTTCTTGAACAAGATCCTGACTCTTTCTACCCAGATTTATTTTCTGCTGCTGCTGTTGTAGCTTCTGTTATGTCTGGACCCTTGTCAAACTTCCTTGATGCTCAAGCTTCTCCACCTAGAATCATATACAGACAAGAAAAATGAATTGTAGGCCAGTAGTCAGGCTTGCACTCTCTACCTACTTGGTGTAACTTCTTGGCTATGAACTGCTGTCTTACCTCTAAAAGTGTATGAATCCATTTAAGGTCTGGAGGCTGCCCAGCCTGAAACAATTGCCAGATGCTATTGTGTTCATCCAGTCTCACCTCAAGAAGATCCCCCTCCAGCATGAGCTCCTCCAGTGGGGCCTGGGTCTCCTCAGGCAGCTCCAATATGGGGCCAATGAACTGTGGCAATAGTGAGGATAGTAGCCCCAGGTCTAGGTGGATTATGGGACAAGATAATTTAGATATTTGCCTCTGGCTATATCCCTAAAGCCAAAAGACCATATATTCAGTAGTAATATCCAGTCAACAGCCTATCCACAGCCCAGACCTACCTGTTTTCCTTAAGCCCTGTGCTAAGGCTACCCTTCTCAGGACTGGTCATGCTATCTCTATTCTCTGGCAACCTTTGAACCTGCCAAAGAGAGCAAGAATGGATTAACAGTACTAGAAGAATTAGGCATTATTCTTCATCCTCTAGCGCAGTGGTTCTCAATCTTCCTAATGCCACGACCCTTTAATACAGTTCCTCATGTTGTGGTGACCCCCAACCATAAAATTATTTTTGTTGCTACTTCATAACTAATTTTGCTACTGTTATGAACCATAATGTAAATATCTGATATGCAGGATGTATTTAGGTGACCCCTGTGAAAGGGTCGTTCGACCCCCCCCAAAGGGGTCACGACCCACAGTTGAGAACTGCTGCTCTAGCGCTAACCTAGGACCTGTCCACCTCCTGGAGGAGAAAGGCAGACACAAGCTGAGAGCAGGGATGCAAAGTGGTGGGATGAAAGAAGATAAAAAATGAGATAACAGTGACAGGACTAGGCCCAAAATAGGGGTAATGCTAGGTGATAGAAGTTCAATGGCTGGGTTGCACAATTTACCTTAGGTATATCCTTGCCACTGACTTCTTTGACAGGCCCAGAGGTGGGGACTGAAGGATGGGTAAGGGACTCCTTGAACCTGTGTTCAGCCTGTAGCTGTTGACGAACTTCAGAGAGTCTTCCCAACAGAATCGTCACATTTTCAGAAGCCAGAGCCTGTCTGGCATGGCCTTGCCAGACAATGGCTCTCTCTGTGAGGCACTGAAGGGACTCACCCTCAGGCAGCCGCACAGGCAGTTTCTTCAGACCTACTAGCAGTGCCAAGACAGTCTCCAGGCATGGGCGCCATGAGCACATGCACAATGGACACAAAATTTGATGTTTCATTCCCACCAGGCCAGCAGTGGGGATGAGGTGGAGCTGGCCCTCAAGGAGCTGAGGAGGCGGGGTACCGGCACACATTGCCCATGGAACCAGTCTTGACACAGGTAACATTATATAGCTCCCACCCCAGCTGGCACCTGACCACACAGACAGATGGAGGTTGCAAAGGATGCTGTGGTTGATGATGCTAGTCGGCCAGGCTTGGCGGAGTTGGTGTGTCGCAGCTGCAGGATACCCTCCTTCTCCTTCTGTTCCCCCATCTTGAAAGCCACAGTCTGTCATGCCCAGGATAGGGGAAGAAGTCAGTAGTCCTCCCTTCTTTGGTACTATTAACACCCTACTTCCAAACTAGGAGAACTGAGGCCCATGGAACAAGTGGTCACTCAGGTCATAAACTTAATTACCCATCTGTGCCCAAATCCCTTACCACAAAGCCTGGATCCCTGAGGTCCTGTGCAGACAATCCCAGCAGCACTGTGTCAGACTGACATAATCGAAGCTCTTTGTCCACTGGTTGCGCCTGGTGCTATCTGAGCTCAAATTTGCACATGGGCAAAGCACCTGAAGCAGGAAAACAGAGAAGAAATGACAAGGATCCCCCAACCTCTTCCTCTACTCAGCACACCACACTCACCTATGTAATCATGAGTCATCTAAAACCAGCCAGGCCAGGAGGAGAGTGGATGGGTCTAGGCCTGAGGTCTTATCTCCAGCAATGTATAACTTGTATTCTTCTTCAGGAAGGTCTTGAAGGCCTTCTTTCTCCAGGAGTGTGCTATCAGTACCTGCTGCTCTAGCTGTCTCGGCTTCTCAAGACACACAGGGAAGTCCCGGCCAATAGCCACTAGCCCCCCCAAGTCATACAGGCAAGGATAGTGGTCACCATTCTGATATAGGGGCAATAGAAAGCTCACTAAAATTATGTCATCAACAAGTATATCTTAACTGCACTGAGCAATCTTGAATATTTTCCTGTGCAGTAGTATGTCATTAAGGAAAACCTACACTATTCTGAAAGAACATATATTCTGGGATGCCTTTCTCCCAGAATTCCTAGTTTCACTGCCTCAAAAAACAACAATACCCACTTAACAGGCCAGTTATTTGTTATGCTTTTATTCTTATTGACAGTGTCCACTTAGCTCTAGACCAATATATGTCTCTTCTTTCACTGTTATCCTAACAACTACAATTCCTTTAGGCTTCCCTCAACAGGCTACCTCCTTTTTCTAACCAAACCCAATGGAGTTAAAAAGTCAAACTATCTTTTTTTGCCTGCCCACCAGTAGAAAGATATGAAACAAGGTCCTCACTTGGATCTCATCCACATCAGCTATCCATGCCTGTGCCTTAGTCAGCACTTGTTTGAAGCCTCAATGTTAGGTAGGTGACCAGGGATGTTTTCTGCCTCATGAATTATGGGTTCCAGTGTAGCTGGTCTATATTTCTGGCTAAATGTAATGGAGAAAAGAGAAATACGTCTTTAAAAGTCACATGTATACAGGCATATTTTTGGTCCTATTTCCTTGCCAAAAGCATAAGCTGGAATAAATTGAACAGGGTAACAGACCAATAATTGCTAAAGTATCTAAATAGTGAGGCAGACATAGTGAGCCACATCTGTGATCTAAGAACTAACTCAGTCAAGGAATATTTCCTTTAATTACTGTTTTGACACAGTAGGAACATTTATGTAACTGGATGCCAAATCTTTACAGTTTACCACATGCCTAAAGAGAGTCTGGTGCCACTGAACCCATATTTAGGATCACACACAAACTCTGAAGACTAGAGTCAGGGTACATATGGGAGAAAGGCTAAGTCCCACCTGGCTTCCAGGCAAAAATGGGCTTTTTCTTCCCAGCGCTCTGCAATGGTCAGCAGCTCCTGAAGCTCAGCCTGGGTCTTGTCCACAGAAGGGCTGGAGGCTACCTTGACAACCCTAACCAACAGCCCCTGCATGATAACCAGAGAGCCCCTTTGAGCTGAAGGGGCCACTGCTTGCTTCACTTCATCTAGCCATCATGCCTGTTCCACCTGCTGCTGGAGCTGATGGGCTTCAGGCACCTTAACACCCAGCTGTTGCCCCCTCTCTAACAGCGATCACAATAGCCCTAGATGGGGGGCAGTGAGGATAGACCTCCACTTGTTCCAGGATATCCTGCAGAGATATAGGATAAAGAAAAAATTAAGTCAGCTGAAAAAATGAACCACCTGGACCTGGTCTGCTACTCACCAACCTCCAGTGGCCTCTCCCCCTGCCTGGTCCATCCCTGATTGAATTCTCCCACCCTGATCAAGGGCGGGACCCAGCCAGCCAAACTCCTCCCACCTCATCCTCCCCCACGGCCAGCCCCATCCCTGATCAGCCTGCTCCACCACAATAGGTCTGCAGCCCCTCCCCCCAGCTGGCCCCAACCCTGATCATCCCACCCTCACCTCAATATGGGGAGGGGCTGGTCGGCCAACCTCCTGCAGCCCCTCTCCCTGCCCAGCCCCACCCAGATTGGCCCCCCACCCCAATTAGGGGCAGGGCCGGCTGGCCAATCACCCATGATCAATCACCCTAGGCCCCTGGCCCCTGGTTGGCACCATCCACCCCATTCGGGGGTGGAGCACCCTTCCCCCCAGTCAACCTGGCCCTGATAGGGTCGGATTGGGGCAGGCTGGCTGGCCAACCTCCTGCTATCTCCTCCTCCTGACAGGCCCAGCCCCAATCCACCCCGATTGGGGTCGGGCTGCCCAGACCCCACCCATGCACAAATTTGTGCATTGGGCCTCTAGTAGACATGTATTGATTTACACTTATCTTCAACCATGCCCTGAGACATGTGCTTGATAGGTCCTGTATTTACTGCACAACAACCTGCTTTTCCTTTAATTATCTGAAAACTTCTTGAGACGTTTTCTGCTTACCACTTTTGTTTGGAAGGCCATCCCCTATTATAAGCTAACAGGCCTGAGAGAGTATTGGACTGCCCATATCCATAGCTTCTCAAAGAGATGTATTTATAAAGAGCTTAGAATAATCTTAGAATAATCAGGTTGTCAATTTTCCCTGCTATCTGAGACTTTATTGGTATCTATTTTTAACAAGAATTCCAGCTTGCCAGGCCCATCCTCAACTTGACAGCCCCAATCTCATCCATAGCACAGGGCAGGCTGCCCATTTGCTCAAGAAGGATGTGGAGCGTTGTCAGGGTCAGCTGTGGAGTTTCAATCCTATGAGTCAAAAAGAAAGAACTCACTAAGTGAACCTTCCAAGGCTATACTTCATGAATCCAACATCCTTATTTCTCCTCCATGTCACAGTAATATCTTTGAAGGTTATCCTCTACATTCAGGGACCATAACCCAATACATTTGTATTTCTTTTCAAATACAGAAGTTAAAAATGTTCTATATGAAACATGAATTCATTAATATTGCTATCTTTACTTTTTAAAAAACATAAGTGGACACACTACAATATACCAATTATGTACTGTAGAAGTTTACACAAGAAACCTACATAATTTTATTAACAAATGTCACCCCCCCCAAAAAATAAAGCATTGGTCTGTATGGCTCAGTGATTACAACATCAGCCTACCACTGGAGGGTTGAGGGTTTGTTCTTGGTCAAGGGTATGTACATGGGTTTCAGCTTCGATCCCTGTCCCCTGTCATGAGCTTGAAGGAGGCAAGCAATTGATGTATCTCTCATATTGATGTTTCTCTCTCTCACTCTCCTCTTCACTTCTCCCTTCCACTCTCTCTAAAAAATCAATGGGACAAAAACAGTATCCTTGTGTAAGGATTAAAAAAAAAATTAACCTCTGCATTAAAGAAAAGATTCCAAGTACATTTTAAAAGTAAAATTGAAGTCTAAAAACTCTAAAGAAGCCAAAAGAAAACATAAAAATATGCCAATTTTTATGAAAAATTTTTATGAAAATTTACACTACAAGTTGATGAAAAATAATACAAAGGTACATAATAGACTGTTAATAAGGTAACAATCCCTTAATAAGCTAATGTAAAGTAGTTTTACTTGTTTTTTTCTAATATAAGATAAATGAAGCATTCATAAGTATACTTTAAAAATTTAAGAAAAGGAGAAACCAAGATGGAAACATAGGTAAACACCTGAAATTGCTGCCTCACACAACCACTTCAAAAATACAACTAAAAAAAAAAACAGACATCATCCAGAACCACAGGAAGGCTGGCTGATTGGAAATTCTACAACTAGAAGGAAAGAGAAAAGTACACTGAGACTCAGAGGAGGTGCAGAAGTAAAGTGCAGAGGTACGGAGGGCCTGCGCAGAAAGGCTGGCAACTGAGGATGTGGTTGTCTTTTTCAATCTGGAGGGAGGCACAAGCTCCTAACTGCTCTTAACTCCAGTTCCGGGTGAGTCTCTGGGGACCCAGACTCATATGGGGAGAAACTGGACTGTCTGTCATCAGGCGAAACTCGAGGGTGGCTTCCTCTCAGAGGTGCTTGCAGTGATTACTGCAAGACACTGATACCTGGGGCCTCTTAGGGCAGGGCTGAGGATCAGCCATAGCTGTTTGCTCCATGCTGTTGATTCCCGGAGACCTCGCCCCACCTACGCTCTGTGCAGAGGCTTTTGCTTATGAATGTCCGGGCCCTTTGCAATCTAAAATTACCTAACTAACTGCAGCTGGGTCAGAGAGACCCAGAACATCCAAAAGAAGGCCCAAGGCCCCATAGCAGCTTGCAGAGGCTAAATTAGCACCTCCTTAGAGATCCAGGAGCCAGTGTCCCCAGTGGTCAGAGTGGGACCATCCAGATTACAACCCCTCAGATCCATAAGGGATACACTCAGGGGGCAGACTCAGTGAGCACCAAAGCCCCACTGAAGCAAGTCTTGCCCCAGAAGGGTGTCTC